TACATATATTTGTATACAGAACGAGAACATATTTGGCAATAATTTTCTAGTCAGGTGTTGAGCTTAATACCTATCAACCTCTTGAGGGTTAAGGTCATCACAGTAGCTATACTGACCACCAGCAAGTATACATTAATACAGGACATAGTCTAGGACAATAGTAAACAGTGTATATATACAACAAGAAGCGGGCTAAACCTCTCAGTATATTCCGGTGCTATTAACTAGTTTTATATACCGTGTTTATACAAATTATTTTTGTTCTACAAATATTGTAGACGTTTATATGAAACATTTCTGGGAATAGACGAGCCTTTGCTTGTCAAGGCTACAGGTCAAGACTTCTTCACTTTACGGAGTAAAGAGTATTGTATTTCTTTTCTTTGTTTAGCAATGGGCAAAACGATAACACCATCCTTTCTATTTTCCAGCGAAGCTCAGCAGTTTGATCACCGTGGTGGAGGGCGATGATGGCCTCGTGTACTTCGCCGGTGATGGGCCAAGATACATAAACGACGCGAAAAATTACTGCAAGAAAATCCCTGGGTTCCGCCTTGCCATTTTGAGGACGCCAGCTCAAGTAGATATTGGGAAGACACTCTCCAATGGAAGTGAGTAAATGTTTGCACTTATTTGTTTAGAAAATCATTGGCCAAGGACGGGGGATTGACTCACCGTAATGGGTACTCCTAGACACACTCTACTGTGATTTCCTAGTGTACTTATCTGTAGTTCTCTTACTCTGAAGAAATCAACTGTTTTAGGTGTAATCGACTTTTTTTCGTGTAGTTTTAACCTCTAGATTCATGAAAAGCCCTTTAATATAAACAATTTTTTTTAGCTTAATAACTAGTTGGTTGTACTCACCTAGTTGTGCTTGCAGTGGTTGAGCTCTGGCTCTTTGGTCCCGCCTCTCAACTGTCAATCAACTGGTATGCAAATTCCTGAGCCTACTGGGCTCTATCATATCTACATTTAAAACTGTGTATGGAGTCAGCCTCCACCACATCACTGCCTAGTGCATTTCATCTGTTAACTACTCTGACGCTGAAAAGTTCTTTCTAACGTCCCTGTGGCTCATTTTGGGTACTCAGGTTCCACCTGTGTCCCCTTGTTCGCGTACCACCCGTGTTAAACAGTTTATCCTTATCTACCCTGTCAATTCCTCTGAGAATTTTGTAGGTAGTGATCATGTCTTCCCCTTACTCTTCTGTCTTCCAGCGACGTGAGGTGCAGTTCACGCAGCCCGTCCTCATAACTCCTGCCTCTTAGTTCTGGGACTAGTCTAGTGGTATACCTCTGAACTTTTTTCAGCTTCGTCTTGTGCTTGACAAGGTACGGATTCCATGCTGGGGCTGCATACTCCAGGATTGGCCTTACATATGTTGTGTACAAGGTTCTGAATGATTCCTTACACAGGTTCCTGTGGGTGTCAAAGATTTCGGGTGACTAACACGTCGCTTTTTTAACGGAATCAACAAATCCGTTAAAATGTACGGTAACATTAATATAAATTGAAGCTCTGAAAAGTTGACGTTTTCTTTGAAGCGACTTCGATAGGTTAGGTGTATGCCACTATTATCTTGAGATTATCTTGAGGTTATCTTGAGATGATTTCGGGCTTAGCATCCCCGCGGCCCAGTCCTTGACCAGGCCCACTATTTTTTTGTTACACACCCCCAGGAAGCAGCTGTCTAACTCCCAGGAAGCTATTTACTGTTAGGTGAACACAGGTATCAGGGTGAAAGAAACTACTCATTTGTTTCCGCCTTAAACGGAGATCGAACCCGGAACCTCAGAACTACGAATCCGAAGCGCTGTCGATTCAGCCATCAGGCCCCTGTTTTGGGTTAGTGCGTTTCGGCTTAAGGGAACAGATTTTTTTTTTAAGAGTAGAAAATTGAGAGATGAGGCCGATCTATCTCCAAAATTTTGAGGCGGCGTAATTTGTGATAGTTTACGTTCTTGTGTTTTGTGTTCTGATATTTTTTGTATAGTTCTATATTTTTATTTAATAACAGAAGTAGTTAGAACGTAGATACTCACATAACTCTTACTAATATTTGTATATTTATTGATGAATTACCGGTAAGAGCTTGTCCTTTATCTTACTCAAACACATTCTTAATTCCCCCTTTGCAGAACATTTATGTATCGACCTGCAGAATTTATCCCCCGGAGTTGTAGCATGGGGTGATGGAACAGCATTTTCTTCTTCGCTAGTATATTGTGGCGGTGGCGGGAGCGGTGGCAGCTGCAACAAAGCTGATACAAACATAATCACAGGTGAAGGTATCTGCCAAAGGAGATGCGGTGATGGTGCCCTCTGTCAGGGCACCGATGAAGACATTGCATGGTAGAGAATGGGAAGGTGGAATCAACCAAAGAGAAACTTGTATGAATTAGCAATTAAACCCCTTAATTTGAGCAATAGAAATTCGGAAAAAAAAGACTTTCAAAAAGTTGAAATTATAATTTCGTTGCTGAAACTAGCTACTGAATAAACAAATTATTAAAATTATTTTTTTTTAAATTTAACATATATTAAAAAAAATGAGTTCACATATCGTAATTTCAGGAAGATGGCGAGCTTTATATAGCTCGCTATCTTCCTACATAATTATGTCTATGTATATACGAGTTTACTATAATCCCGGAATATATTCACAAATATTTTTGCTGGTTGGCCAATAAGCGCTTGTGGTTGTTCTAAGTACCCTCCAGAGATTGATAAGCATTAAGCCTAACTCTAAGCTCATCACCATTGATATAAACTGCCTTCTATAGAGGCTGTTGTGAACCTCTTCTTGATTCACTTGTGATATAAAAAGACTATTGATATGTATTTGTGTACATGTATATATGTGTATGCAATATAAACAATTGTGTAAATAGCCTCACAAAATTGTCACTTGCTTAACTAAACGAACTATGGGGTTCAGATCCTAAACCAATTATGTGCCTCTGTAACCCTTTCCACCACCGCCCACGGGATGGGTATGGGGTGAATAATAAGGAAATTAAATGAACCAAGCATTTAGGGGGTAGTTATGGAGGTAATGCAACAGCTTAACATTCAACCAACAAAGATAAATGTACCTGCTCACTAACACAGCTCGCTAACGAGTAACACGACTCACTAACGAGTCGTTGTCACTACAAACTACTGACACTAACAATCACGTAAGAAGCACGAGCACCCTTGATTAATTTATCCTTCGCATGAAATACATTGATTGTCGAACAAATCCACAAAGGCCGTGACGAGGATTCGAACCTGCGTCCGAGAGCATCCCAGACGCTGCCTTAATCGACCGAGCTACGACATGGTAAAAGAATTGCAACCAGAAATTCTATTGAACTTACTTGGATCCTGCAGCCTCTCCGAGACACAAACCAGGATTTTACACAATTCCCCCCATGCACTCGAGCTATGTCAATAGGCCGTTCTACCTCTTCGCCCTTACTTCATTACACACAGAAATCACAATAGTCTCAACAGTGACTGCCACGCTATCAATACATGGTTAAGGTTGTGGGCTTGGGGACTGAATATTATGTTCGCTCATATTATGAAGGAGAGCAGAATTGTAAGATGATATTAATGCTGGAAATTTGTGCTTGTTGTTGTTGCTATAGATTCAGCTACATGGAACAAAACGTTCCAAGCAGCACGGGCTATGGTGAGCCCGTCGTACTCACATGGCACAAGAAATGTGCCACCGAAATTATTGCATGCACTGAGAATGTCATACAATTTTGATATTTCTCTTTGATTTGATTAAAAATTTATAAATTTATAAAAGTTTGTTGATACCCTCTGTTAAATTTTTACGGTATTGGCTGATGTGAATATGTTGTTAATAATATGATAAATGTGAATATGCTCATCACAAAATGTTTAAGCCACAAAAAATAAACTCTTAGGAATGTAAATAGTGAGATTAAATAGGTCTTGAAAGGTTCTAAAAGTCTACATCAATACTATATAATACTTCAAATTAAATGAATTAAGTGTAGACCATCCTCGTGTTTAGATAGTATTTATAGTAATGATGTGGACCAATGTACATATATTGTCGTAATGGACAGTTAGAAAGTAGAATCTGGTACTATTGAATTGGGACGAACAGGAAAAGGTTTTGTATTTATGTTGCTAATAAAACCTAACCTAACCATCTGAACCTAACCTAACGCTTTCCGAGGCCTAATGTAGTACAAATGTATATGATATACTAAGCCTTGGAATATTTAAGTTTGGTTTTTAGCTTTGTTTTCCTGACTTATAAAGTGAATAGTACCACTCTCCACTATCTAATTATCCATTATGTCAATATAGGTACGATGGTTCACATAAAACAAGTAGTATAAACAGGAGGATGGGTTATAAAGTGTTTCATATAGTGAATGAGTAATATACAGATGACCATCTCTGTGAGGCTCTTAGCAGTGTGAGGCACCAGAGGAGAAAACCGTCCGGCGGGAGATTTAAACTTTGACCTCAGTAGCAGCATTTAAACACTGACCAGGTCAGTGTGGTAAGTGGTTGTGGGCATGTCTACGATAGGAAACCATGGTGGGGACGAGATGGGCTTGCGACGAGGCAATACGAGCCCCCCCCCCCCATATAACTTGTGACATCCCACTGTCATACCCGGGGCTTGGTACCAGGTTTGGTATGACTGGAAGACCAGTGCTTGAAGGGCAGTGGCTCGGGGTTTGATAAACATGACAACGCTTGGCTTGTGGACTAGGCTCAGCCTGTGTAATTGTACACGCAAGCGTTGGCTGGTAGCGCACTCGGGTCTCCCACATTACTGGCTTGAGAAGACATGGGACAACAAAATACTCCTTACAGCCCTCCTACTTCATTCAAGCCATTTTTCCTTCCGGATATCGCCTTCTTCATAGGCCCCCCTAAATCAAAATCGCAGCCGGCCTAAACGTCCTTACTGCAGCTGACTTACACAACCAGCCGGAGAGTGGCACCACCTCTCCCCACCCGCTCACACAAGTCGTCAGCGTCAGGCCCAACACACCTCACTCACTGCTAGGGTCTTCACACGGTAGGTCACTCTCTGCACTCTCACTCTCTCCCTCATTTCAAGAACAGGCGAGGTATTGTCTATAACCACTATACACAGGTTATATACTGTCCATAGTCGAGTTACTAGGATACGAGTGAGGAACTCGTCATGTTGGTCACATCCTTGTGACTATATAATGTATATATATATATGTATATGTGTATGTAACATTAACAACTGTGTAGCTAGCGTCACAATACTGTCACCTGCTTAGCTAAACGAACTATGGGGTACTTGAACTGATCTCATCTAACCCATTATGTGCCTCTGTAACTCTTTCCACCACCGTCCACGGGATGGGTATGGAGTGCATAAAAAAAATAAAGAACGAAGAAGAATAATGAGAGTGGCTGACCTTTAGTCCTCTGATGCAGCGGGAGTGAGGTGCGGAAATCCGGAAACAAATCACATGCAAGCCGTGTTACAAGCAGACAGTAGAAGGTAGTGTGTGACTCCCGTCATTGGCACTTGTCATAGAGGTGGGAGAAGCACTTGCAATATACTATCTGGCTGTTGGGGGTCCCGCCTCCGTGCTGCCACTGTATGGATTTGATAGAAAAGATCATGTTAAATGTTTTAAAATGTGTGTGTTAGGACAAGATTATCTAATTAATAAAATAGAAGAATGTTTTGAACCTTGTTTTCTATTGCGGTGGCGAGTTTTGTAGTGGTTTTCTTGGTGTATATTTTTGTATGAATCGGTGAAAACTGATAGTATTCTTAGGGGTGCATTAGGAATACAACGTTGTCCTGAGTTTTGTATTGTGTATTGTGGGAGTTGTTTCGTGTGTCGGGGTGAGCTTTCTTTAGGTTGTTTTGAATTGTGAATAGTGCATTTTTTTGAGCTGCGAATAGTGTAATGTTCAGAGATGTGAATAGTGTATTGTTTTGAGTTTTGTATTTGTCAGCAGTAAACCAAGAACATAATTTGGTGAGGTGTTGGGCTTAAGGTCTATCAACCTCTGGAAGTTGATAGACCTTAAGATTAAGATAGATTAAAGTCACCACAATGCTAACTGGCCATTTGGTGAGACTGTTGTAATAGTGGACATAGTACCAGACTATACAAAACTGTACAAAAGCGTATATCGGACAATTACACTGTCCTTACTATACTAAAATGCATTGCATGACTCTAGAGCATTTTAAAAAGCTCAATAGCAACATTCATACTATTATATATGTCCCAGGATGAATTACATAATACAAATATTAACTAGATAACTTTTCTTATTCCAACAAATCATTTAGCAGCTATATACCTTACCTTGAGGTTACCTTGAGATGATTTCGGGGCTTAGCGTCCCCGCGGCCCTGTCCTCAACTACACCAGGGTTGTTAGATAACCGCCTCGTTCGAAACAACAACAAAAAACCATTTACTAGATAAGTATCTCATCCGAACATTTAAGTGATTACGACGTTAACGTAATTCTTATCGTTAAACATTCCAACAATTCGGTTACTATTGCCGTCTTGTGGTTATCCATTTATTCCTCAATCGACGCACAAGCCAAGCAGTGAATAATTGAAATGCATCATAACAGCAGCAACAGACGAGTGAATCATTGGTAGTTCAAAAAGAGGTTTTCACACGCTGTAGCGTGACTAATATGAGGAAGAGCGAAGATAAAAATGAGGAGACCAAAGATAGGTGTGTGTTTACCTAGCGGTGCTCACCTAGTGGTGCTCCCCTAGTGGTGCTCCCCTAGTGGTGCTCACCTAGCGGTTGTTCCCCTAAGTGCTCATCTAGCCGTGCTCACCTAGCCGTGCTCTCCTACCAGTGCTCACCTAGCCGTGCTCTCCTACCAGTGCTCACCTAGCCGTGCTTTCCCTACCAGTGCTCACCTAGCTATCCCCACCTAGCTGTAAAATTGAAATTGAAATAAGTTTATTGATGTAAAATACACACAAAGGGATGAGGTAGCTCAAGCTATTCTCACCCAGTTCAGTACATCGTGTTAATACATACATAGACACACATCACAAACAATAAACATAGTACCAAACATTCTGAGAGATAAACATCTACATTTCCTACCTAGCTGTAAGTACACAGCTGTGGTCACCAGTGAACGCCATCCTCGAGGATGGATATTTCCGAAATGCTCTACCATAATGTTGCATACTTGTGTGTGTGTGTGTGTGTGTGTGTGTGTGTGTGTGTAATTACCTAAGTGTAATTACCTAAGTGTAGTTACAGGATGAGAGCTACGCTCGTGGTGTCCCGTCTTCCCAGCACTCTTTGTCATATAACGCTTTGAAACTACTGACGGTCTTGGCCTCCACCACCTTCTCACTTAACTTGTTCCAACCGTCTACCACTCTATTTGCGAAGGTGAATTTTCTTATATTTCTTCGGCATCTGTGTTTAGCTAGTTTAAATCTATGGCCTCTTGTTCTTGAAGTTCCAGGTCTCAGGAAGTCTTCCCTGTCGATTTTATCAATTCCTGTTACTATTTTGTACGTAGTGATCATATCACCTCTTTTTCTTCTGTCTTCTAGTTTTGGCATATTTAATGCTTCTAACCTCTCCTCGTAGCTCTTGCCCTTCAGTTCTGGGAGCCACTTAGTAGCATGTCTTTGCACCTTTTCCTGTTTGTTGATGTGCTTCTTAAGATATGGGCACCACACAACAGCTGCATATTCTAGCTTTGGCCTAACAAAAGTCATGAACAATTTCTTTAGTATATCGCCATCCATGTATTTAAATGCAATTCTGAAGTTAGAAAGCATTGCATAGGCTCCTTGCACAATATTCTTAATGTGGTCCTCAGGTGATAGTTTTCTATCTAGAACCACTCCTAGATCTCTTTCTTTATCAGAATTCTTTAAAGATTTCTCACATAATATATAGGTTGTGTGGGGTCTGTGTTCTCCTATTCCACATTCCATAACATGACATTTATTAACATTAAATTCCATTTGCCAAGTGGTGCTCCATATACTTATTTTGTCCAGGTCTTCTTGAAGGGCATGACAATCATCTAAATTTCTTATCCTTCCTATTATCTTAGCATCATCAGCAAACATGTTCATATAATTCTGTATACCAACTGGTAGATCATTTATGTACACAATAAACATCACTGGTGCAAGAACTGAACCCTGTGGTACTCCACTTGTGACATTTCTCCATTCCGATACATTGCCTCTGATTACTGCCCTCATTTTTCTATCAGTCAGAAAATTTTTCATCCATGATAGAAGCTTACCTGTCACCCCTCCAATATTTTCCAGTTTCCAGAACAACCTCTTATGTGGAACTCTGTCGAAAGCCTTTTTTAGGTCCAGATAGATGCAGTCCATCTCTTTCCTGTAATATCTCTGTGGCCCGATCATAGAAACTGAGTAAATTCGATACACAGGATCTTCCTGATCGAAAACCATACTGTCTGTCTGATATTGAAATAAGTGTGTGTGTGTGTGTGTGTGTGTGTGTGTGTGTGTGTGTGTGTGTGTGTGTGTGTGTGTGTGTGTATTCAGCTAGTTGTGTTTGCGGGGGTTGAGCTTTGCTCTTTCGGCCCGTCTCTGAACTGTCAATCAACTGTTTGCTAACTACTTTTTTTTTCCACACCATACACACCCCAGGAAGCAGCCCGACTGACTCCCAGGTACCTATTTACTGCTAGGTAACAGGGGCATTCAGGGTGAAAGAAACTTTGCCCATTTGTTTCTGCCTGGTGCGGGAATCGAACCCGCGCCACAGAATTACGAGTCCTGCGCGCTATCCAATGAGGAGGATAGCCCCCTGGTAGCCTGTGTGTGTGTGTGTGTGTGTGTGTGTGTGTGTGTGTGTGTGTGTGTGTGTGTGTGTGTGTGTGTGTGTGTGTGTGTGTGTGTGTGTGTGTGTGTGTGTGTGTGTATTTTGTTCTTTTGCGACTGTAGTGTTTGTTATATACACTACTCAGTGTTCTAACACCCTGTATTCCACAAGGTTATAACAATTTTGTTCTTCAGTTCCTACTGTAGACAAATGTGTGTGTTTTTTAAGCATACAAATATGTTCAGATCAATATGTTTGGTACGAACTTTCTGTTTAATGTTTTAAATAAAATAAAAAAAAAGTTTGCGTATGTAGATATTTGTTATGTCAGGTAAGTTGGGTTGATAGGTTGTGTAGCAACGTTTGGTCGAGGTTAGGTTAGATTGTGTGGTTTGTTGGATTAGGTTATGTTACGTTAAGTAGGTGGTTAGATTAGGTTATGTGTGGTTGGGTTAGATTAGGCTGTGTAGTTGGTTAATTAGGTGATGTTAGAGTATGTGTGGTTGGGTTAGATTAAGCTGTGTAGTTGGTTAATTAGGTGATGTTAGATTATGTGTGGTTGGGTTAGATTCGGCTGTGTAGTTGGTTAATTAGGTGATGTTAGATTATGTGTGATTGGGTTAGATTAGGCTGTGTAGTTGGTTAATTAGGTGATGTTAGATTATGTGTGGTTGGGTCAGATTAGGCTGTGTAGTTGGTTACATTAGGTTATGTTAGATTACGTGGCTTCGTTAGACTGATCTTGTATATTTACACTACAAAGTTAGAAATGAGTGACGCATTTCTTTTGAGCGGAATCCCAAGCACAACCTCATGTAACCCGCTGCTATTAACTCAAATATTCTTTTGGTGAACCCGTTCCTGAGAATGAGTTGAATTATTTCACTCTGCCGGACAGGAACCTCTTATAACTGCAAAATAACTCATAACAAATGTTGCTCAAATATAAAAAAAATAAAGGCCGCCGAGGGCGTGGTTTCACAAGGTAGTAATTTTATGCCATCCTGTCTTCATTTTAAAATATATTTGGAACTGTCACGATTGTCATGCACGAGCGTTTAGCAAGCCATCCTCGTGCCACTTGCCTCATGACAGCTGGCTTAGGCTGTCTGGAAAGCTAAAGTAATTATCAAAGAAGGCACCAAGCCGGGAAGGCTGCGTAACCTGGAAAGTTAAAATGAGCTCAGTTCTAGAGGCTCTATATTATTAACTTATGTAGTGCTCAGATCTTGCGTCTTCGGCTTTGGAAGGCAAATGGTTTTACTGACTTACTATTCATTATGACAAGGACTTCTTATTTGTTCTACAAGATGACTTAGTGGTTTTAAAGTCGTCTTCTTTGGTTTCTGCGTCAACAGACGCCATAAGGAATGATCAAATTGTAGGTGTTGTATTAAATTACAAGTCTGGGAAGTTTGCAAGGTGACTGACTAATCAGGTCATCCTGCGGTATTTGTAAGTAGACAATTTCTTGGTGGTGCGTGCTAACTGGATTTAATCAGTTCATATGCGAGTACTTGCAGGCAATTGTTGGTGCTGAATATTTCTTACCGCAGTGTGTATGTATACGTGCGTGTCCAAGGGCACGTCTGCTGCTTGTTTATATTAGTGTGCTTTGGTACATTGATCAGAATAATATATATTGCCCAAATATATATTGGCCAAAGAACCCTAACCGTGCTCTCCTACGGGAGACGAACCTTTAGCACGGCTCTTAGTGCACGTGGGATGGGTCACCTCTGGTGGTGTTAGAGAGGCACTCCTTAGCATTATATTTAATAAGGTCTGTGTGTTTCCTCCTGCAGGTGCAGTATAGGATGCGGACGCTGTTGCTGGCGGTGTTCCCAGTGGGCCTGGTGCTCCTGCTGGTGACACAGCGGGCTAGTGGGGCACTGTGGCCCTTGAGGACCTTCATAGTGAGGGACATGACCTTCCCTCAAGGCACGGCCATCACAAATACCACCAACACCACCAGCGTCTGTGAGCGTCTATCCTGTGAATAGTATTATATGATAGGTGCATTCACCTATTTCGCCTGTTTCATCTATTTGTGCCTACAGGATCACGCTTTACTACCAGCAACTACAACCTTCTCTCCACATCTCTCCGTACCGCTCCCCCTCCTCCTCCCCAGCCCTCTCTTCCGCCCCTTCTTCTAAACCCCCAACACCTCCTCCACCCCCCACTTCAAATTTCACAATAGAGTGGCTGAAGAAACCTGTTTCAACGAGTAATTTTAAACACAATTGATTATGCGATGATTGTGATTACAATTCTGGTAAAGGTTAATGAGCATGAATGAGTCGTTAGGGGTAATGGTGAGTCACGAGGGCGAGACATACAATAACCTCCCACACACACACACACACACACAGGTGGGTGCAAGATGCGGTGTCTGGCACTGCCCAACTGTGCGGCGTTCGCAGCGCAGACCCTGGATGCTGAGACGTTCCTGTGTCGCCTCACAAACCAGAGTCCCCAGGAAGCGTCCCCTACAAGTCAACCGGGCGTTGTGTACGGCTACAAGCTGGGTAAGTGTGGGGGCTACAAGCTAGGTAAATGTGCGGGGTCACAAGCAGTGTGAAAACGGGCTGCGGACTGACTAAAGGAAGCTATTGAAATGAGTGTAGAGAAAAAGTCATGCGTCATGCAAAAGTCATACGAAGAATTTGCCTGAAGTCCTAATGGCGCCACTAATGGCAGAGGACTGGGCAAGAGGCCAGACTGTGTCACTGTAAACAAAAAATGGGTACATATTATTTGTTTAAATGATATACCTAGGTATATGGCATCATAGTTCTGGGTTGATTAGAGGAAATAACTGAGAAAGTGGACAGTGATGAACACACAGGGTTTCAGTGGTGGGAGAGGCTGTGTAGATCATATATTTAGTTGCACTGACACCTCGTGGGGATGGTTTACGAAATATTACAAGACGTATATCGTCTTTATGATAATGTATGATGTTGGGAAGAGTTCTGTTTAGAAAAAGCAAGATAGGAAGGGACGGCTAAACATTAGCCATCTGGCTCTTCTAGTGACTGTGATACCATCTATATTTACTTTCTAGCTCAACTTAAAAACACTGTGACGGAAGATAATGATGGCACTGTCTACTTTGGCACTTGTCAACAAAATGATGATTTTAACTCAGCCAAGACTTACTGCAAGAGCATTCCCGGGTTCCGCCTTGCCATCTTAAGGAACCAACAACAGATTAATTTTGCCAAGACAATCTGCAGTGAAAGTGAGTACACAATAATAATAATAATGATTCTGATCATTATTTTTTGTTGCTGTGTGGTTTGTTATTGGACTTTATGCCCATCAACCTCTGGAGGTTTATTAAGGCTATTATTATACAAGTGTTTACTGACCAACCAGAGAGTATAATTTTGCTCTAAAGTAAACTTTCAGTATTTATACACACAAGAGCTAGGTAGACATATTGGTATATATATATATATATATATATATATATACACACAGGAGCTAGGTAGACATATTGGTGTATATAAATCATCTTGTGTTGTTGCTGTCTCGGGAGTTTAAAACTAAAATTCACAACTGGTTAATTAAAGTGAATTATTTGTTTACCACACAAGAGGCTAGTGAAAAAGCTGGAGATGCAGGCTGGAGTGAAAGGGAAGGTACTCCATTGGATAAAGGAGTACCTAAGAAACAGGAGACAACGAGTTATTGTGAGGGGTGAGGTCTCAGATTGGCGAGACGTTACAAGTGGAGTCCCGCAGGGGTCAATCCTTGGACCTATACTGTTTCTGATATATGTAAATGATCTCCCAGAGGGTATAGAATCGTTTCTCTCATTGTTTGCCGATGATGCAAAAATTATGAGGATTGAAAGAGGATGATAGTAGGAGGTATCAACCAGGAAGCTACAAGATGACCTAGACAGACTGAGTGAATGGTCCAACAAATGGCTGTTGAAGTTCAACCCGAGTAAATGCAAAGTAATGAAACTAGGCAGTGGAAACAGGAGGCCAGACACAAGATACAGAATAGGAGATGACGTACTTAATGAAATGGACAGAGAGAAAGATCTAGGAGTTGATATCACACCAAACCTGTCTCCTGAAGCCCACATAAAAAGAATAACGTCTGCGGCATATGCGAGGCTGGCTAACATCAGAACAGCGTTCAGGAACCTGTGTAAGGAATCATTCAGAATCTTGTACACCACATATGTAAGACCAATCCTGGAATATGCGGCCCCAGCATGGAGCCCGTACCTTGTCAAGCACAAGACGAAGCTGGAAAAAGTCCAAAGGTATGCCACTAGACTAGTCCCAGAACTAAGAGGCATGAGTTACGAGGAAAGGCTGCGGGAAATGCACCTTACGACACTGGAAGACAGAAGAGTAACGGGAGACATGATCACAACCTACAAAATCCTCAGGGGAATCGACCGGGTAAACAAGGATAAACTATTCAACACTGGTGGGACGCGAACAAGGGGACACAGGTGGAAACTGAGTACCCAAATGAGCCACAGGGACGTTAGAAGGAACTTTTTCAGTGTCAAAGTAGTTAACGGATGGAATGCATTACGCAGTGATGTGGTGGAGGCTGACTCCATACACAGTTTCAAATGTAGCTATGATAGAGCCCAGTAGGCTCAGGAATCTGTACACCAGTTGATTGACAGTTGAGAGGCGGGACCAAAGAACCAAAGCTCAACCCCTGTAAGCACAAATAGGTGAGTGCACACACTATTACTAGTAACAGTAGAAGTAATAATAAAAAATATAATTGTTTAGCTTCTTACTAGAATCATCATCACTGACTCTGTCAATTTACCGAACCTCGTCCATCCTGACTAACCATATTCCCGTTCAACTTCAGAGTATCTTCGCATCGACCTTCAGAAATCACAGACTGGAACTTTCGTATGGGGAGACCAAACAATGCTAACCCTTACTGCGAATGTGAGAACTTATCAGGATGGTTCGACAGGCCCTATCGGCGCCCACTACTCAATCAGTGTCTATGGGATCTATGTGTCATGGTACACTGGAAACTGTTACCTCTGTCAAGGTAATGATGCAGACAACGCCTGGTAGTGAAGAGAAAGGTGCTAAGAGAGAAAGGCCAATCGGAATGAACGTAAATTAAACCTGGAATATTAAATTAAACCTAGATTGTATTATTATTATTAAGTAAAACATCAAAACATGTTAATTTGTTAGGATTTTTCTTGGAGGTAAAATATAAACAAAAAAATTGAGAGATTTTGGAATTAAAACTACCAAAAAACAATATGTAATACAGGTGTTTACAGCAACAATACACTGTACACAATCAGTCTTTGAAATTACGGTGAACCAGACACAATCAACGAGAGAATAAGATACGAGCAATTACCTAATTACGCTGTCTGCAAGTGACTCATGAACTGTAAACACTGTTCTGCTACCCTGACTGATTGCTGATCTAACGTTGTCGAGGGCCTAATATATAGTATAGCCTAATATACTATTATTAACATATATATATATATATATATATATATATATATATATATATATATATATATATATATATATATATATATATATATATATATATATATATATATATATATATATATATTATATATGTATATATATATATATATATATGTATATATATATATATATATATATATATATATATATATATATAAATGTATGTATATACATATATATATATATATATATATATATATATATATGAATATATATATATATTCACCTATATAAAGATCATATTTACATCAATTTACAAGGGAAAATACTACATTTATAAATATTCTATATAATTCTCAGTAAACCAATTTTCTATATCACGGAGCATAAGCTATAAACACCAAATGTTATACTGTACCTGGTTCTGCCTCGCAAGAACTATAATAGCATTTTCGTATAGCGTACTTCACAACTTTATTAAAATTCTATAGGACAACAGTAATTCTGCCTTTAAACACTAAATAATATTGATCTAGTTAACATTATGTGGTGAGGCTAGAAGGCCGTTTGTGAGGGCCACAGAGGCCAAATTTTCAGGCCAATGAGGAAATTTCCTCGATTTTGCCTTCACAAGCTCCTGACAGTATATGTGAAGTGCTATAAGGAATATCGATACCAACACTGATATCTTGATTCGTGGTAAGGAGTTGAATCAAATAATAATAATAATAATAATTTGCATTTATATCAAAAACATTTGAAATATGATCCAGTGGAGTTTTCATATACTGTAGACACAATGTAATTTTTTTTTTGAGATATATACAAGAGTTGTTACATTCTTATACAGCCACTAGTACGCGTAGCGTTTCGGGCAGGTCCCTGGAATACGATCCCCTGCCGCGAAGAATCGTTTTTTCATCCAAGTACACATTTTACTGTTGCGTTAAACAGAGGCTACAGTTAAGGAATTGCGCCCAGTAAATCCTCCCCGGCCAGGATACGAACCCATGACATAGCGCTCGCGGAACGCCAGGCGAGTGTCTTACCACTACACCACGGAGACTGCAAAACCAATAGGATAATTAGAGGCGCAGCTGTGAACAGATGTTGGTTGGTTCCCTGTATTAGGCTTGAAGACCATCTCTGTTCCATGATTCAGAGCCAGAATTTATCAAGCTTTTTACGAACTCTGTAAATCTTTCCTCGATCATGGGGCCTGACGGCTGAGTGGACAGCGCTCGGAATTTATAGTCCTAAGGGTCCGGGTTCTATCCCCGGAGGCGGCGGAAGCAAATGGGCAGTTTCTTTCACCCTGATGCTCCTATTCACCTAGCAGTAAATAGATACCTGGGAGTTAGACAGCTGCTACGGGCTGCTTCCTGGGGATGAGTGTATGTGTGTGTATGAAAATTAGGATTAAGGACTTGCCAGAAACCGCTATGCGTGCTATGGCTGTACTAGAATGTAAAAACTCTTGCATACATAAATAAAATAACAACTAATCATAGCGGTTTAGTTTGTATTTACAAAACAATTTACTGGTTTATGGAAACACTGTTAAGTCGTTTTCTAGCCAAGATTATTATTATTATTATTATTATTATTATTATTATTATTATTATTGTAAATGACCTCGTAGCGCTCTGGAGCTCGTCAGCTTTTTTAATATAATGCAAACTAAGCCACCATGACCGAAGAAAGATGGAGAGGTTTCGCAAGTAAACACTTGTGTTTAATTAACCCTGGGTCAGGATGTGCAAGAAGACTCAGTCTGCTCTGTATAACCTAATAAAGCTTGATAACATCAATAATCTGGGTAGATTAATTTTTAATTTGATTAACTCTGTACGTTGCGGAAATGTGTAGCAGTAGTTTATAGCCCAAGATTGTATTATTTATCGTTCACATATCATGAATAATGTTAGCACAATAATGTTCGCATTCTGAGTAGTGCTCACACATGAATAATGTTTACATGTCATGAATAATCTTCATTTATCCATTTTCACGAATAATCTTCACACGGATATTATTCACACATGAATAAGTTCACGTCATGAATAATGTTCACATATCGTAAATAATGTTCTTATAATAATATACACACATGAATAATGTTCTCATAATAATATTCACACATGAATAATATTCTCATATGAATAATGTTCTCACATCATGAATAATGTTCATACACTAAGAACAGTGTTCTCATGATTAATGTTCACAGCATGAGTATTGTTCACATAGAATTAGGTTCTGATTTAAACAATGAATATTAAATAATTATTATACACTCAATTAAGGGATAACGAAGATAAATCATTTTTTCCTCAGTGTTGAGTAAATTGGCCATGAAACTTTTGTAATCAAGCTTATTTCTCTTTCTCTTCATCCTCCTCTTTATCCTCTTGTTACTCTTATTCTCCCTTTCGACATCCTTCTTTTCCTTCCTTTTTCTCTAATATCATTGTCCTCCTCTTTATCTATGTTCATCCTTACTGTATTTTCCCTTTCCCACTTTACCTTGCTTCCTCATTACTTATGCAAATTTTTGTCATTCATGTAAATCACAATAACAACCAATGTATTCTCAACGTAAATCATATTAATGTGTGTAAATAATAAATAACTTGCACTGCACTGAAGTTTATTGCCACGCAATGGTCTTAAATTTACTCAATTGGTAGATATTGTAAGTAACATTACTCACCGATCTGATATAAAAGTAAGAATTACCAGATTATTATTTTATCTAACATTGCTTTCATTTGGTGTTGGGCGTAAGGCTTATCAACCTCTGAAGGGATATTAGGGCCTCCAAAATAGCTTACTGACCAGCCAGCATGACGAGAGAGAGCACTGTATATGAAGTAGATATGAGAGAAATATAGTTCGCGAGTCATTATATTAAACAAACAACGATAAGAAGGGTGATTTCCAAGAGCTAACAGCACAAATAGTAAATACAAAAAATAAATCCCCACACACACATACGACACCGCACACAAATCCCCCCTTAACACACACGCACACACACTCCCCACCCCTCCCCCCAAAAGATACACACACCTCTTCCCTCCCACTCCGACCTCGACCAATCTGACCTCTTCCCACTCCCCAACGCACACAAGCACATATCTCCCCCAACACACACACGCACACACACAACTACTGTTGGTGATACTGCAGGTTACACAAGGCTCACACTGAGACTGGCTGTGGTGAGGGGTGGTACAGGCATCATCACCACCTATTTACCACTTTCGTCTATTAGTTCGCAAGGCTCTGTGATACGCTGATCTTCCTCACCTGTGTGCCTCCTTGCCTGCCTGCCAGGTCTTCATAAATAGTGAGTATTGTACCAGGGTGCTAGATAATCATATACTATTTTCTGAATTATTTACATTATCCTCATCCCTTCCTCCCGCCATTCCCCTACACACTCTCTCTATGTTTCTCTCTCTCTCTCTCTCTTTAATGCCTTAGAAATACCAGGTATTTATCTATGTTTAAATTGAAAACGTGCCTCTGAAAATGCTAGAGCTCCTTCAACAAAATAACAACAATACAAAAAGTTTAAATTAATTCCAATAGACTTCCATGATTCATACCTAGGAATGCTAGTTTGGCGTTGGCCTTAAGGCCTATCAACCTCTTGAGGCGTCTAAGGCTGGGCTTAGGAGTGCCCAGAGCATAACTTCGAATCATACTCATGGCTCCTACTGATTGATTTTCTCAACCTCTGGAAGGTTTTTAATGACGCCTCACAACCCGTCCTCATAAACATGGGCCAAATGCTCGTTAATTCATCCACCAAACTTCCCCTTTTATGAATTAAAATAACTTTACACACGACTCACAACTGATGAAATATGTACTTTTCCTCGTTCACGTCCCCCTGCTTGAATCCCACCTCTCTAAATTCTTCATTCACATACTGGAAGTACCAATAATAGCTTACAGAACCTAACCTAAACCTAAGTTAGGCATAAATATTCAACACATTCTAATATGTAATGACATTAACTTATATTTGAGAAAATATAAATTTTGAATACGCAGTATGTTACAACTGATGATTGTGTCTTTTGGGGTCGACCGCCGATTAGATGAGCCTAGCCTGAAGACAAGTTCCAGTAAGTTGATTGAGACAATATGATGCAATCTCAAAAGGATACAGTAGCGTAGGCTATTGTTACCCTCCTGAAGACACACAATACCTTACTAACCAACAAGCAAGTTTACCTTACACTTCTCGGTGTACAGTATCTAGTATATTCCATGAGAGGATTTTGTAAGCGTTTCGAAACTGCACGTATGTGGTCGAGGAAGTGAATTGACAGCATTGGAGTCTAAAGAAACTTGTAGCAAATAAAGTAAATGAAGAAAATAGTAGCTCCGAGAAAATAATAACTAGAAAATAAACTGAAAATAATTAAAACCGAGACTTAGGTGGAAACACTTATGACAAGGTAAATTATTGAAAAAAAAGCCAGAAGACATTGAAAACTCGATAAAATAGAAAGAAAGCAGACTCCTTGACGGCCCGTCTGAAGAAAATCAACACCTGTGCCTTGCCTAATGGTATGATTCCCATGGTGACCCCTTGTGCGTGCGCCTATCAGTGTTTATCTACCTTTACCAAGCGGTCCTTACCTAACAATTTCAATGTGATGGCAAATATAGCTCTTTATGCCCTGTGTTCTAACTTTTTTAATCTAGTGCGTTGTTGAATCTCTTAACACCTTGAAGTTGAGAAAGAACCTTGCACATTGTCGTCTTCCAGAGTGTTTAATTTGATATACAAACATAAAATATACAAAATAAACTATATAAAATATAAAAGATTATATAATTCTAACAATCTATCATAAGACGATTTTGTGAGTAAACAAAAGAATAGGTGATTCAGAGTGGTTAAATTTAGGTTTCATTCTAACGATATGAATCAATTCCAAAGTGTTGAGATCCAATCTTTAACAACCCTCCACAGGCCGACAGGACTCAAACCCAAAACCCAGTCAAACCACAACGTTGCTGTAGGTTAAAGTGTAATTCTAAGAACCTACTGTGATCTCTTGCCTCACAGACAGTCTTGCACAGTAAGACATACCCACATGTTAAAGAGGCTGTTTTAAGGAATAGCCGCCAGTTTCTCACTCCTGTGATTAACTTTGTCCTCCTTCTCTGTATGCGTTCAATGAAATTTGTCAATTTTATAATATAGCGACCAAGTTGAACTTCATAATCTACAGGGAGGGGTCTAAGAATGGCAACATTAACCTGAAGAACAACAAATGTTTGGTGTTGTCAACACGGGAGATACAATTCGCATCGTACACAAGACAATTTGCCAACGGATTTGGTAACTTGCCAAACCTAACCTAACTCAAACCATCTTATCGTAACTCCACCGAGCCCAATACCGGATAAGCTAAATTAATATATCCTAGCCTAACAATATATACGGTTTTAACAAACGGAAAAAAAAGAGGTTAATCGAATCTTCTTGTGTAGGAAGTGGCCACACGCCGCCACGGGTGGGCAGGGCCGCCATTATGCCTCACTGACCAACCTGCGAGTATACACAATTCCCAAACATTCTCCACGACCAAATTAACCTCTCAACGTATATAAATATATTGACAAACAGGGTACACATCATGATGTATATATATACATTCATTTACATGACTCACATGACTTTACAGGCTCACTATAGCCCGAGCTACAGGGCATTGCGTTCCGAGGAGCTAAAGCTAAAACCACAACTTACGTGTTTACAGTATTTCCTTTTGTTTTAATTTTCGTGTCTGTGTGGCGGCGACGTCGGCGGCAGTGACGGGAGTGAGCGTCTTGGCGTCATGGCTGGTGCTGGTGGTGGTGGTGGTGGAGGGGGTGAGGGCGGGGGTGCTCCTGCAGGTCAACACCGCCCACAACACACTCACTATGGACGCCCACACCATCCACTTCACCCACCCTAAAGGTCGGTCATACATAATTTTTTGCAGCAAATGAATGTTAGTTAATACCAGTCACATAATAGTAGCAGACGTATAGTAGTAAGCTCTGCGTCTATTGTTGGAGAATGACTTCAATTTATAATTGTAAAAGCAATGTATTCAGCCTGGAAACAATAGATTAATTAAGAGTTCATAACACGGATTTACGATGGGCCGCTCATATTTAGCGAATTTACTCTTTATTTTTTGTCAAACATTGAAAATATTGAAATATTCTGTACCTTGGATACTATATTACTACAGTCTCCCCGACTTGGTGCCTTCTTTGGATAATTACTTACTGAGATATACTACCCTTGATACTGTGCTCACAAAAGGTAGAGGATTCAAATAAAAGCTGCCTCGTGTGAGCAAATAGGCATTGCGCAATTTCCTTTAATTTTATGTATAATTTGTTGATATATATATTTGTCAAAGTATCACTGTTGACAATACAATTATAATTATCAGAAATAATAAATATTATTGGCATAACTACTATGAAATATCATAGCCTATCCTCCAAAAATTAAAGTACTTATAGTAACTATTAGATCGATTGTATCAATATGGACGTGATAAACGAATAAAAAGTAGACTTGTATTGTTAAATCTGATCAAATCGGAAATTTTCCTATTTATGTAGCTAATTAAACCTAACCTAACCTAATCACCCTAGACCTATTACATGCTTTCTTAGGTACGTTAGCAGTAATGTAGATTTCATAGTTTACAAATATTAAGAAGTTTACAACGTTGAGAGTATTGTATACTAATGCCAGTAGGCTTCCTATGGGTACCTCTTTCATACATTGTTTCTGTTATTGTATGGATGCTTTATTTAGTTTTAAATAAAAGAGAAAAATAATACACTCTATCTGAGACCTAATATAGTACATATATTACTATATATGTATATAATATGTTATACTACGCCTATAAATATTTAAGTTTGTTTAGTTTGTTTTCCGGACTATAAAATAAATAGTAAAAAAAAAAATATTTTCTATTTGGGTCACGTCGATATTTATACGATCGTCCACATAGTTACAAAAAAGTACTATCTTATCAAGAGGGTGGGTTGAAATATCAATGGAAAGAAGTAAAACTTTCTTCCTCGTATCCTTACCACAGTTCCTTTGAGTCATGTCCTGCGATAAAATCCTCTATTAATCTGATAGTATGTTTTTCTACTCTTGTATCAGCATCCTAGATTATATCTAAGATTAATTTTAGTACCACATATGATGATAAATAGTCTTCTGATCATGGTGCATTCTTGTGATATTTATTCTACCACCCGTCAGGAGAGGCGCAGGTCCGCTGGGGTCTGACCATTCCTGAAGGCATCGATGGAGTCCCCTGCGGCGAGGGGGATACTTGCCTGGACTTCGGGGTGGCCAAGGTGGTGGTGACGACGGAGGACCACTGCCAGAAGGTGTCCTGGGTCGCCACCAATATCACCGAGCTCAAGGACTGTGTGGTACTGGAGGGTCACTGGTAGGTGTCTCTGGTGATATGGTCCTCCAGTTGTATGGGGTTCCCAGAGATACTGTATATGGTCATGGAGTGGTAGGAACCTCCCCAGGGATATGTATGGTCCAGGAGTGATAGTAGGATCCAAGAATAGTCCTAAAAAGGCACGAGTTTGAACCAGACCCCAACACTTGGGTTGGGGTCTTGGTTCTAGGGAAGTAGTTAGGCTGTGATATTATTTTTTATTAGAAGGCCTACAGTTTGGTTGTTGGACGGTAGGATAGCAAAGGTCTAATACTCGAAGTGGTAGAATGGCCGGGGGTCAGGCTCTCAGGTACTAGGAAAATCGATGACTGGCCCAGGATAGGTAAGAAATGTACTTGTAGCCGCGGTGGTCGCAGTTGTGTCTTGTATTTATACAATGTAGTCCCTTTTATAATGCATTATTATCTCCCTTTTCACTCCTCTTATTTTCATGCTCATTCTTCTACTATTATTGTTACCAGTCTTATTCTTATACCACCTCCATCTCTTCCTCCTGTACTTACTCCTCCTCTTAAACCACACAATTCTAATCTTACACCCCGTCCCTACTACAAACTCCGTATTATCTTATACTTTGACCCCTTCCACTGTCAACGTTCACCCTCCTTCCCTACATCCTCGGGTACGGGGGAGGAGGAGGTGTGGACGGAGAATACCCCTTTCAATTCCCACTACTTACCCTTAGGTACCTTAGGTACAGAGGCAGATAAGACCATACCACCTATTCCCACTCAGGTACGGGGGTGGAGAACAAATCACGCAGCCGTGGCCTATAGAGAAGCAGCCGCGTGTAGAGACTGCCTACATCACCGCCGACATGCTTCAGAACCCCTCGGAGTGGTACGCCGGAGTCACCGAAGCCTACTGGATCTCCTCCCTCGGGGTAGCTGTCAGGGTGAGTCCCTCAGACTGTCAGTGTCTCTGTTAAGATGAAATTAGTGAACATCAGACTAAGTTTGACACATAGGCAAGGACAGAAAGTAACTATACATCCAGCACCCATCACCAAACATATTTTTATGCATAAAAATATGCTGGAAATTAGAAGAGAGACTAATGGTGAACTGAATATTCTTAGACTGTAAGAAAGGTTTTGACTACTTCACTCGAGACCAATCTGAAAATTGGGATATCTTGAAGAACACCTTAACTGACAGATCACCCCAACTAAGACAAGTGGAGACAGTAACAGTCAGGGACATTCTTTCGATTTCTCTTCCATAAAAATATACAGTGGTTTAGCCCAACCAAAAGCGTCAAAAACTAGCCAACCAACCTAACCAGCCGTAGTCAATACTCATTAGTCCCAGGAAGCCTAACTATTGCGATATTTTTTAATTTCCCTAAACTACCGCAAATTTTTCGGTAGATATAATTGCGAAAAAATGCAGTACGTGTAGTTAGAGGACGGGTTTTGGGAAACTTGACAGGCTATAATTCCCAGATGTATGGTGGTTAAGAATATATTTTAGTTCTCAAGAGGCTGTGGCTGCTCTCATTATGCTGTGTACCATCCCCCTCCTGCTGGTGGCGGCAGGTGGAGGAGGAGACGCCGCTGTTCCTCAGTGTCCCGGACTATGACGGAGACTCCACGGCCGACGAGCTCTGCCTCGACGCCCGCCACCAGCTGCCCTTCGTCGCCGCCCCCGGCAGCCCTCTTGCCCTCAGCTACTTCCTCTGCTCCGCCGACGACGTCAGGAAGGTTGGATATTTGTATCCCTTTATAACATAAACAAAAGTTATTGTATTTCTCGTTATCAAAATGTTATTCGTGTTATCAATTTAATGTGTAAAATTTGTATTTTTTAGGCTCAGTTAAATTTTGATTTCTGAAATATGTATATGCTTTTATTTTATATTATATTTTAAATATAGTCCACAGAAACAAGAACAAAATTTGAATTAAATTGTCGTTTTTAAGCTATACAGTAAGCTTTGTGATAGCCAATAAGATCCATACTGTTTTCAGTTTCTTCCTTTTTTTTTCTTCCGTCTTTTCTGCTTTTATCTCTTCCTCATCTCTTTTTTCCATCATTTTTTTTATCTTTTCTTTGTTCTTATTTTCCCTTTATTTCTTCCTCTTCATTTTCATCGTGAATTTTCCACCTATTCTTCCTTCTGTTTTTTCCCTACCCTTCTCCCTTTCATTCTTTCTCCCATTCTTTGTTTTCTTGCTTGCTCCACGTCTCCTTTCCCCTCTTCATTTCCCAATTTTGTATAGTGTGGGATGATACTTATCTGAGTTCCTCTGAGAACGGAAATATGTAGGTCCACGAGGCTATAATTACCCTCATCTTCATCAAGTTGATAAAGATGAGTTCCTGATGCGCGAGGCTATAGTTGCATCATCTTTATCACGTTTTTTTCCTGATGCAGGTGCACGAAGCCAGTTACCCCAAGTTCTTTTCGCTGCCGGAGGGGGTCCCGGACGCTCTCATGATACAGGACCCGATCTGGTCGACCTGGGCGGAGGACAAAACTGATGTCAACGACTCTAGGGTCCTCGACCTCGCCCAGCAGATTAAAGAACATGGCTTCAACAACAGTCAGGTGGGAGATAGGTGGATTTCTAAGTGATGATCAGATGAGATTTTAATGGGTGTTGGTATTGATATAACTAGTTTGTGAAGAGACAGTCGGATTTTTTTTAACTTGGTTTTTGTTGATCCTCAGTTAAACGATCGTTTGAGACAAACCTAACTAAACTTAACCCGTAAAATACCATATTACAAATGTGCAGTAGACAGCCATGGGATGATTAACTTTCACTTTTTCGTGTATGTTCCCACTTGTCTCTTTCTTTCTCACTCTTTGTGTCTTCCTGCCCTCTTATGTTTCGTTCTCCTGCAGCTGGAGATCGACGACGACTGGGAGACCTGCCATGGCAACGCCGTCTTCAACCCTGACAAATTCCCAGACCCCAAGGCCTTGGTCGACCAGCTCCATGTTAGTACAAGTAACCTTTTTGCTTTTACCTCATTTACATTGTATATGTCTGTTCCTCTGTCATATACGTCTGTTTATTAATGTACTTAATTCTCTACATATACGTCTGTTTATTAATATTCTTAATTCGTTAATTCTCTTATTTACGACGCTTGTCATTTTATTCCTTGGCTTTGGGTAAATGTTTTACAAACACCTTCCAAGCGGGTGTTAGGTTAATGTTAGTTTATAACGCCATACTGCTACCAGTGACGTCATCGTTTCTCAAATATTGTCTGCAGAATGATCCAACATTGATTAAATGTTACACGAACACGTTTTTCCCGCTGGGATATATCATCGTCAGGCGCTGCCTTCGAGTCCAACCCGACCATGATAACATTACCTCTATCGCCATGATAACATTAACTTTATCTTCCCCTTGTAGAGCGAGGGTTTCCGGGTCACACTGTGGATTCACCCCTTCATCAATGACGACTGTGAAGCTTTCGCATATGCTGACCAGCATGGCTACTTTGTTAAGGTCAGTGCAAGGGGGGGGGGGATTCATAAGGTTTATGTAACCCCCATTGGGGTGATCCCAATGGGGGTCACAAAGTCAGTTTCATTATGGGAGGCTACCCGTCGGAACAGCCTGGATAAAGGTTCCCTGGGGGAATTTAGCATGTGTAAGCAGTCAAGATAAACGGTAGTCATGTAAGGTTAGAGTTACCCTGGGGTTCATGTAAGATCAAAGTCAGTCCCAGACACCACATTTAGTTATGGTTTTGCTGGGTTAAAGTCAGTGTAGCGCCACAAAGTGCCAAGGGATATTGTCAGTGCTTAACAATTCTTTTCTTGCTAGGACTCTGAAGGCCAGACCTCGAAGACCCACTGGTGGCAGGGGTCCAGCGCTGGTATCATTGACTTCAGCAACACTGAGGCGGCAGCGTGGTGGTCTCAGCGGCTGACTGACCTCCAGGAACAAACAGGAATCGATAGCTTCAAGTTCGACGCTGGGGAGGCCTCCTGGCTGCCTGACGTGTACACGCTCGATGTCGACGAGAGGTTCTGGCCCAACGCTTACACCACGAAGTGAGTGACAAGGGTGCTTGACTGCTGGAGGGTCTGGAATTAACTGTCTGTCTGTCTGTCTGTCTGTCTGTCTGTCTGTCTGTCTGTCTGTCTGTCTGTCTGTCTGTCTGCCTGTCTCTCTGTCTCTGTCTCTCTCTGTCTCTGTCTCTCTCTCTCTCTCTCTCTCTCTCTCTCTCTCTCTCTCTCTCTCTCTCTCTCTCTCTCTCTCTCTCTCTCTGTCTCTCTCTCTCTCTCTCTCTCTCATATCATCATATCTCTCCAGATACGTGGACACGGTGGCGCAGTTCGGGAACATGATAGAGACCCGGACGGCGAGGGCCACACAGCGACACTCCACCTTCGTCCGTATGCTCGACAAGGACTCTGTCTGGGATTCCAACAATGGCCTCAAGACCCTAGTTCCTTCACTCCTTCACTTTGGTAGGAACCTGGGTTATAGATTTATTACACCTGTCAGTGATTCGGTTTCTGCTCATGGCTTGAGTGTATACATATATTCAAAAAATTATGTGTTTTCAGAAGTTTATTAGCTATTGGCTTGAGATTAACCTAGAGTTTCGCTACAAATGCACAAAATCACTACTTAAAAATTTAACTAATAGAGAACAGCTGCGGATTATTGACACAGCTGCTACAAAGGCCACAACTCTACCATAAAGTTATTTAAAATAACTTTATAGTCTAAACGATACCAATAAGTCTAAAACGTTTATAATATAACCATGGCTTGTGCTCAGTGATGTGTGACTTGTGATTAAAGATATATCCTAAATAAGTACATTTTAAATCTGTTAGTTACATCTTCTCTGTCTCAATGTATTCACTCGTAAAAAAAAATTCACAATGCGTAGAATTCCAGAGATAAAATACATCCGAAATTAAAACACCAGTGACATGCAATACAAACAATATGCAACACCAGTGACACGCAACACAAACTTACAATACAAGTCAACATATACATCTGCAGTTACAATCTACATCACAACCTTGATCACAACTACTCACTGGCATAATCTCTGTGAACGCTCCCACTCGATGCTTGCTTGCCCAGTAAGCAACGACTCTTGCCTTCTTCCCCTCAGGGATACTAGGCTACCCCTTCGTGCTGCCGGATATGATTGGTGGCAACGCATACAACGGCCTTCAGCCAGACTCAGAGCTGTTCGTGAGGTGGGCACAAGCTAACGCCTTCATGCCAGCTCTCCAGTTCTCCATCTTGCCCTGGGAGTTAGATCAGCAGGTCAGCAAAGAATTTTTAAGGACTTTAGACAATCTGATAAACTTAATACAGTATTTGTAATACAAACTACAGTTCTCTGTAATGTTTCAACGTTTCCGTTCGTCTTAGATAAACGATCAAGACTTGATAATGGTCCCAATATAGAGGTATAGTCGGATCGTTTCTGACGTGGGTATAATCTTTTTGAATATTGCATCTTTAGTAAACTTGGTCAATAAAAGAAGTTGGTTTGTGCTTAGATGACAGGGCCGTGCCTGGTGGAGGAAGCCAAAGTGCACGATATATATATATTCTTCTTTTACTTATTGCAGGTGACAGACCTTAGCCTGGCGGTCACCAGCCTTCACGCCCAGTACACGGGGCTGCTGCTGCGCCTGGCGGAGGAAGCCACCAGCAGCGTGGCGCCCATCGCCAGACCCACCTGGTGGCTGTGTCCGGAGCTGGAGGAATGTCTCACCGCCGACCAACGTAAGTACTTGGGTAGAAGCACCAGTCGCCCTAGGTGATTGGGTACGGTTCATACACCATCCTATATCAAAACTGTAATTTTATTGGGTTATTGTATATGCTAATTGTCCGCCGACCAGCGTGAATACCTTGAGTAACAAGTTGAGACTTCGTTAATCAATTGAGAGTGTGTATGCTTTATACAACAACCCGTCCTCACAAAAAGTTTGTATTTCTCTACCGATATCTGTGCAAACTGTAGAAAGCTTATTGTCACATACGTGACAGCCCCTATTTACATCTAACCAAACAATTCAGCAATCCCACGACAATGTTACCCAGTAATTTGTTCCACAAATCCAATTTTTATACATCACCAACTTCCTTTCTTCCCAAACAGAATTCCTGCTGGGGGATGACCTACTGGTGGCGCCTGTGGTGGAGGCCGGCGCCAATAGCCTGGAGGTGGTGTTGCCGCCCGGGTCATGGCGTCAGGCTGGCACTGACCAGGTCACAGAGGGTCCAGTCTCCCTCATACTCACAAACATCAGCCTCGAGACCATTGTCTACTTCACCCGGGAACCCACCAACTAACAAGTTCAACAATCGTGCATAGTTTAGCAGCTAATAAGGTCAACAATCATGTATAGCCTAGCTACTGAGTCAACAATCATGTATATCCGATCATCTAACAAGTTCAACAATTATGTATAGCCTACTAACACATTCAACATTCATGTGTAGGTTAGCTTACCAATTAAAAAGGTCAATACTCATCTATAGCCTAGCAACTAATAATCTTTTTTTTATTATTATTATTAACACATTTGGGTACAGCTGCATTTATGTAGCTACCCTAAACTATATGAAGTGGAATACAGTGTGTCAAGAACTAGCTATCCCTATCTCAGGATGGTTAATCATACAGGTCCATGTGATAGGTTGTCTGCTCTGGCAAACTATACATTATGCAGATACCATCAAGAACGCAAGAGTAAATAAGATAGCAATGATACTAAAAAGTCATCTCACAGGATGGCTAGTCAAACAGTGATTAGTAGCCTGCACTGGCAAATTTTTGGGTGTATTTGAGGATATCCTCAAGAACACAAGAGTTTTATAAAGTGATTGCAAAGCTCATGCCGGCGGGTCTGTAGGTCTAATAACTGGGCATTCAGTGATGTAGTCTGAATAAATCATAGTTTTTTATACTGGTGTTTTCAGGCCTTTTGGAGTCAGTAATTTATCTCCTCAGTGTTTAAAACAATAGTCCTTTAGACCTCAGTGTTTAAAACAATAGTCTTGACAGCAGAGATGGGAATACCTAGGTTTAATTCAACTTCATCTTTGTTACACGCTAATTTGACTGCAATGTCTGTGTCATTATGATGAGTTATATTTATGTGAGATGGAATCAATACAAAAGAGATCCTAAACTCTTTATTCTGTGCAGTCAGCAGGTAATTTATAATTGCTCATATGAGGTTAATATAATAATATTCAGGTAGATTCCTGTAACATGGAAACTTAACATTTTTGCCTAACAACTATAAGAAACTTCACATCCTTGAGCTTAACAACTATTTTTTCTCGGATCTGCCATGCTAGTTTATATACGCGTCTAATCTAAAATAAAAAATAAAGTAAAATAAAAATGTAATATTTTTATATTTTCTATAATATTACTATAATAATAATAATAATAATAATATTACTATAATAATAATAATATATAATGTAATGTAATAATGTAAAATAATAATGTAAAATAATAATGTAAAAAAATAATGTAATAAAAAATAAAGGGCTAAAACTAATGTAACTATACATTCGTCAAGTAAAAGAAGTATAGGCTATTAACAAGGATGCCATTTTTGTTATTATTTGCATTGAAAATTATATATTTTAGTAATGAGGTTTGCAAGAACGTATCGGAATAAATTATGCTGTGAAATTGGTTTATAATACAATGCTGTTAAAAGTGAATATGCATTAAATATAACAAATAATAAATACAAAAGAAAAAATTTCGTTTATCATAAATAAAACCTAAATAGCAGTTAATATGTATATTTTTGTGTTAAATTATCAAAGAACCCTTTCCATGCATGTAATCAGACGTGTTAACACAAATTATAGAGAAGAGGATTTAAAACTGATTTTCAATTACAAATGTCAAAACCTTTAGTAATAACCTAAATAGAACAATACGCAATGTTGAGCTGGAAGAAGTTAGGTTTGGCTACGCTAGGTATTTTTTATCTTTATTAAATAATATACAGTATAATTGTTATATTTACATTATTTTGCAAAGGAAATACTACATTACATATAGAGTTGATATAATTCTCAGTAAAACTATGTTTCACATCATTAGAGGAGCCTAAAGTCCCAAATGTTATACTTAACCTACCTTTCAAAAACTTCAGTATTTTGTCTACCGAGCAACCCAACTACGTTAGGTTTGGCTAGGTTAGGTGCCGCTAGGTTACTTTAATAAGGCAAATCATATTCCAGCACCATACCGATCAGCATGAAGCTGCTCTGCCAGGGAGATAAGAATTTTTGGACTCTTGTACCGTTATCTTGTATCCAAACAGCGCCGTTTCCCATGTATTATGCACGCACTGAGTATACATACATTCAACACACACAATCAGTAAGTATACACACACTGAGTGTACACTCAGTAAGTATATAAGCAATCAATATACACACAAACTCAATGAGTATACACAATACACACTCAGGGAGTATACACAGTACACTCAGTGAGTATACAGAGCAAACATTCCCGATGAGAATACACCGTACAAACAGTCGGTGAGTATACACTCGGCGAGTATCCAAACACTCATACACAGCTCCAATTATAGTAGAATGTTTGTGTTTGATAATACAAAGACAATTCATAGAAAGAAAAAACAAGTTCAAACTTCTCAGTTACAAGGTAGATTGTGATAGATATTTGTTATCAAATCGAGCTGTGAGCGGGAGGAATAGACTGCAGGAGGCAGTACAGTTCTCAGTGCAGAGGAAACTTCGACCAGGGGTTCTCAGTCTTTCTATGTTTACAGTCGCCCCATTGATTCAGTATGTCCCTATACCAGTCCCTTCGTATGTCTCTTCGTACAGCAAGTCCTCCCAATAGCACGTCGCATTTTGACGTATACTCTACCTAAGGCCAAAAATTGTCGTACTAGAAAATGGTAGCTGCTAGCAAATTGACATCACCAGTCATATTGAGTACAAATATGATTACAAAATTAAATTTTAAAATGTGCCAGTCGTTTGATTTACTAAATATGTGGATAGCAAGGAACACAACAGCTGACAGAATGTCATAAGGACTTTATCATGTTTATTTATAGAAAACGACAAATCACACATACACAAGTTAGCTACAACCAGTAAGATTTTTGTTGCTGTTTTTTGCGCAATCAAAACATGGAACCGTACCATGGAACCGAACCGTAATCAAAACATGGAACAAAACGTACGATTACTGATGGTGATTGTTAATTCTAACAATTTTGTTTTAATTGCTCAGAGATCAAGTCCTATATCACTAGTATTTGATGTCTATACCTCCATGGATAGCCCCGGTTCAGAACCCAAGACTTTGAGCGTTGAAGCAAATGGATCAATGTCTTAGCACGCTTCGCGGCGGAGATCCATCGAACCTAATCGGATCAAGATCCTATTAGGTTCGAATCCTGAGTATTTCAGGACGTTTATGCACCTTTTCTCCTCGAGCAAGACATCACATGCATTTGTAGATCGAACACTTAGCATGCCAAGGTTAGGTTAAGTTAGGTTTGTTTATAGAGTAGTGATGACGTAGGGGGTACATAGTTTTCTCAGGTCTTAGACCCTACTCGTTGTTGTGTCGTCAAGTGGACGTTCACATTAAGGCTGACTGCGGTATAAAGAGGACGCGCCGGCTCACCACCCACCTTCATATTCTCGTCGATATTGCTGGGTGATAATTGGCGGCCTTCATCAGCGTCCGTTCCTACCATCCTACTTGCGTGTCATCCAGTTGCCTGTAAATAGTAAGTAGTATTAATGGGTATTGCAGAGAGACAATGAGAAACATGAGACAAAATTGCAGTAATTGTATTTGCTGACCATTAGTTCGAGAATCGGCTGGGGAACTTAATGCTTGACCCTGCAAGCACATATGGTCTGCAATGAGGCTCGCTCCAGAATTACGAGGGAAGGGAGAATGCAGTAAGACAGAGTTCGATCTACCGTCGCTTGAAAAGTGAGGAGACATGATACATTTACAAAATACTAAAATGTAGACTGACAGTGAGGAAACAGTAAATAAATGTTCACAATAGATATTAATAGACGGAAGCTTAAAAAACAGATGTGCCATAAAGATGGTAGTTTTTTGTTTTTGCGTAAAAGCAGTAGGAAAATTAAATGAACAAAACGAGCGGGTTGTAGGTGTCAAAATTAAGTATGATAGAAAAAGGTCTGGAACCATTGCATTAAACATCCGTTGGCTGGAAAGGCAGGGTCTAAGAGCTAGAGCTCGACAATGCTGGCACAAATATATGTGAGTATACAATGTTATCAGTACACGCGCGACGCCTGGGAACCCCACACCTGATGTTCTACACAACTGTTGACGTTCACGAGAACACTTGTAAACATGTCTGTTGTCACCACGTTTAGACTCTTCCTAATATTTACTACTCAAGGTGTCAGCATTGGAAGCTGGGTCTGGGGACACGAGTTCTATCCCACTACATTGTCTCAATATTTGTTTCATAATATATTGACTAGAGGACATTATACAATAAAGGGCTGCTAGAAGGTATAACACTCATACGAATTCAGAGATAAACGACAAAAAAATTCTCAATCCTCTTTATTTTTCTTTGATGCCAACTAGACGAAGGCTATTATGTAACCACGGTTACATAATAACCCCTAATATAAACCCCTAATACCCTTAACCCCTAATATAAATCAGTATATAAACTAGTTTATTAACACGCACATAGCACAATGCTATGCGCGTGTTAATAAAACAAATAATGGTTACTTGTAAATACAGAAACAGTGCATTTCTATCTTGCAACAGTTAAATATAACAAACATAAAATACAAAGAAGACTTACAGCGTCATACTAGAATACAAATAGCATGTTAGAAGTCGATGGCAACTGCCGGAGCTTGGCCAGTTCCACTTATGTCGTTGCGAGTGTCAGTTGCCACCATGAGAGGCGAGTTATTTTATTATATAATGTTTAATCTCTCCTCTTTTTGCCACACCCAGAGATGCTCAAGTTATTTGCATTATCATCATTACGTCTTCTACAAAACGTAACTTATAGGCAGAAAGTAATAAAATGAATACTCACGGTCTGGTAAGATTGTTTACACTCGATCGTCATGTGTTTCCTGAATACGTCTCGCGCAAGTGTTATTTTACGTCGTTTATATAATATTTGCTCGTTTATTATTTTTATTTTGTTAATTTATTACGGGTTTACATAATCAAAATTATAATAATAATTTATATTCGTTAACAACATGTCCCTGCAGCGCCACCTGTGTTACATTCTCACAACACCTGCCGCTAGAGCATCGTCTGTGCTACAGCACCACCTATGTTACACTCTGCTTTGTTGCAAAGACAACACCTGTGTTGCACTCTGACAACACCTGTGTTGTACTGGCAATAACCGTGCAGCGCTGACAATAACTGTGTTGCAATCTGACAACTGTTTTGTGCTGACAACAACCGTGATGCACTCTGGCAATACCTGTGTTGCATTCTGGCAATACCTGTGTTGCACTCTGGCAACACCTGTGTTGCACTCTGACAACACTTGTTTAACTCTGACAACACATGTGTTGCATTCAGACAACACCTGTGTTGCACTCTGACAACACCTGTGTTGCACTCTGGCAACACCTGTGTTGCACTCTGACAACACCTGTGATGCACTCTGACAACACCTGTGTTGCACTCTGGCAACACCTGTGTTGCACTCTGACAATACGTTTGTTGCACTCTGACATCTGTGTTGCACTCTGACAACACCTGTGTTGCACTCTGACAGCACCCGTGTTGCACTCTGACAACACCTGTGTTGCACTCTGACAACACCTGTGTTACACTCTGACAACACCTGTGTTGCACTCTGACAACACCTGTGTTGCACTCTGGCAACACCTGTGTTGCATTCTGGCAACACCTGTGTTGCACTCTGGCAACACCTGTGTTGCATTCTGGCAACACCTGTGTTGCATTCTGGCAACACCTGTTGCACTTGCAACACCTGTGATGCACTCTGACAACACCTGTGATGCACTCTGACAACACCTGTGTTGTACTCTGACAACACAACTGGGATGCCATACCACAACCCGTCCTCAGGCCAGGAGCGTTAGAGTAGCGGCCAAGACGCACTCATCAATTTTAACTTATTATGCATTAAAAATCGATTTGTTCTCATTTATATATTAAAGTTAATCACTTGGATTGCTTTGTACAGTGATGGCCCCATTTCTCACAGGTCTGCGTTCAATCCCCAGTGATTGGACACCTTCCCTCCCTCCTTCCCCATATCCCAGCTCATATCCTGTCGCCACATCCTTTCCAAAGCACTCGTATTACTTTTTAGATTTGTATATCTGTCTTTTTCTCTTCGTCCCCGTCGTGATGTACCTGACAGTGACGGGAGTGAGCGTCCTGGCGTCATGGCTGCTGGTGCTGCTGGTGGTGGTGGTGCTGGAGGGGGTGAGGGCGGGGGTGCTCCTGCAGGTCAACACCACCCACAACACACTCACTATGGACGCCCACACCATCCACTTCACTCACCCTAAAGGTCGGTCATACATAATTTTTAATGTGATTTCTTTGTGCATTAATAATAATAAAGTTATAGCAGCAATACAGGACCAGGATTCATCAAGCATTTACTCGACCACTTACGATACCTGTACATCTTTCAGCAATTATGGTGGCTTTGTTTTCATTGATTTACTATTTAGTAAACAGTTCATGAGCTCCAAAGCACTACGAGGTTGATTATAACAATAACTATCTTGGGTTTTGAACTTTCGAAACTCGTAAACTGTTGAATATAAACAAAGTCACCATAACTGTTGAAATATGTACAGGTTTCGTAA